ATTAAAAATAACAGTACAGACAACATGTGTTTAATCTGTGTGGAAGATGAGCTCACAAATTTAAACAAATTTCGAGACTGATAATTCCTGTGTATTTTCCATTAGTCTGACAATGGTTACTGCTTTCATCATGGAAAAATGTTGATCAGTTTTTCCCTATTGACTTTATCCAAACAAATTGACTCATTAAAACTGTGCTAGTCGTTCATTCCCCCGGACTCCATCCCTCATTCCCACCCCCCATGAAACTCATATATAGTTTTTAAAAAGCACATATTCGTTTTCCATTAACTGCTTTGGTAATTTGAAATAAACTTATTAAATGCTGGTGATGTGCACTGTAACTTTCTCAGCAGCAGTTTCTTCTTGGCGATGAAGGCGTTTTCTACATTTTGGGATTGGCATCTGATCAATATTAAAACCAAAGCAATACATTGTTTCAGAACCCCCATTTAATTTCATTTTATGATGGAGTAGGTGTCTGCGTAAGCACTTTTCCCATTTTACAGATATCGAGAGAACATTCCTCTCAAATATTGAATGCAAGAATATACTTTTAAGGAATTGCAACAATGGGACAACTAATCCAAATGGCAGTCTGTGGTTAGGCTGGAATGTATTAGAAGACGTACATGCTAACTTTGACCTAGAAAGCTGAAATTTCTGCAACAATGAATCTAAGGCATAGATTTGATAAAACATTCTTGTTAAAATGGTTTGCTTGAGAGCATCCAATGCGTGCCAATCTGACATTAGCTGTACATTTAGCATACAATCTTCAGTTTCCATAATGAAAAGTGTTTACATACGGATACAAAAGTGATAAATTCCCCAAACTGTTTTTACGTGAAAAATTGACACACTGTCATCACACAAACCAACCAATTTTGTAGGTGTTTGCCTACAAAAGACACTATATATCAAATGCAAGCATTATTATTTTATAAACATTCAAATTACAGGTATAATGTACGTTATTATAATACTACACTAGGTTTGTGCAGAGTATTTGAAGGCATCATTCACTATTTCTTATTTGAGCTTCCACCACCAGTCACATTTATGAAATGACTCTCCACTGGGCAGCATTGGAACTTGTTTTAATTAGATCAATGAAAATTGGATGATTTGTTTTCAAAAACATCTTTGTCTGACGCTCTGTCAGATACAAACCGGACTGATTTCCACAATGTGTTGTTTTAGAGATCAGAATTAGGCATCAGAGTGTTAGCTCTGACGCTGAAACCTTGGTTGCCAGGGAATCAGGTCAGGCCAAAGGCAGACACAACACGCATCCCTCTTCCCCATGTCCAAAAATGGCAGATCTTCCAATTTCTCCATTGAAGTATTGCATTCTTTTCTGTGATGTAAAGTAGGGAAATGATTTAACGGCATCACTTTTGGGATGTATTTCCATTCAGTCTAAACTGCCTAGTGATGTTTCTGCCAGACAGGTAATTCTCAGTTTTTTTTGTTCCTTTGCATTAAATGCCATCTCCCAGGTACAACTTACAATTTCAATAGGATTAATATTGATAAATTACTCTGATCATTTGTGAGAGGGGAATGGAGGTGAAGAGAAAGGGACATGCTTTTCTTTTCCAACTTTCAGGTTGATGATAGACTGGATCGCAGGCAGCACGCTGAAACAACACGCCATCTCTTTAAAGAATGAAGGCTCCATGAGTGCTTCAAAGCAGGTCAAAGATGTCAAAAGGAATAAAAAGACTGACACAGAGTAAACACATGATGATGGAATAATGTACAGAAAGATCTAAGAGTCGGATGTGAAATATGAAAAGATTGAAAGGGAAGATTGAAGACTGACACCCAACAGAAGACTTTTATAGAAGCTGAGTTGAAATCCTAAACTGTCCTGAGTTGGTATGTGATCACATTTTGCTACTGCTACAAGATTGATCTTTCCCCTTACATTGTACAAACACATTCTGTACACCTAATATTGAAAGGTGTGAGTGACATAAATAGTTCATGTTATAGTTTCTATGCCTCAAGAAAAATCCCTCAATAATCCCTCAAGAAAAAAAACAATAATAAATTGGTCATTTCAATCCACGACTGTAGTGGGAACACGACTGTGCACAATTGGCTGCCGCATTTTGCCCACAAATATACAGTCAATTCACTTTACAGTCTATTCTGTGAAGTTCCTTGAGACGTCTAGAAGACGTGAAAAGCGCTATATCAAACGCAAGGATTATTATTATTATGATTATGCTCCCATAATGTTTGAAATCTGCGCTTCCCACCACATACTAAGTTTCTGCGCCAAAAAAAGATTTCCAACTGTTTTCACTTACTTTCAATCTCATTTTCAACTCCAGGTGCTCTCCTGACGTGCAATGTAATTTCCTTACGATCAACATTTCCGTGACGTTGGAATGCCCTAACTTCCACAAACAAGCCCTCTAGCTTCTGTTCCCGAAGACATGCAAATTGAACTGAAACCACAGAGAATTGAAAAACAATTGCTTCTCAAACAATAGCACACAAGCCCATAGAAACTAGGAGAAGAAAAGACAGCAGACACCGCAATGCACTTTATACAAAAGAATGCAGTGAGACAATCAGAAACCTTTAGGAATCACACATTTGGGTTTCCGACTGTGTCGTTTTATTCCAACCAATCTATTTTCTTCAATTTGTAACAATTTTGTGACAGGGAAACAACATATGCTGTTATTTGAACATTTTATATAAGGAGGACAAGATCAAGGTATTACATTATTATACATTAAGAAATCTACTAGGTTATACAGTTATAGATTGTTGAAATCAGTAGAATTATTTGGGTGGAAATAGGGAATTCTCTCTTTCTATTGGACATCTAATGTTATGTGCATGAATTATCACAACTTTGATCAAGATGAACATAGGGGTAAATGCATACTGAAATTTGCTTGTAAATTGTTATGAATATCAAAGACTAGGAACCAGTGAGCAGGAACTTTCATTCTGGGATCTGGGCTTGAATTCAGACAAGTGAAATGGGTTGAAAGTCTCCTCTCTCATTCTCTCTCATTGTCTGTCAAGAATATAGACAGCTTCAATTTTGTTCATAGTAGCATAGACCGATCGCATCACAAGATCACAAGAGCACAAGAGGTTTAGGTGAAGAACGAAAAAACTATCCACAAATCACCCCCATAAATATATAATAATCCTTGCATTTTGATGTAGCGCCTTATCATGTCATGATTATATCTCAAAGCACTTCACAGCATATTATTGTAAACTTAGTGACTGTGTGTTTGTAGGCAAACATTGCAGCTGATTTGCACACAGCAATGTCCCACAAACAGCCATGAAGTGAATGACCAATTTTATTTGGAGGAATGTTGGCCAGGAGAGACACTCCCTTATCTTGTTGAATAGTGCCATGGGGTATTTAACAAATATTTTTACAAATGTAGATGGGACCTTGGTGTAACATCTCATATGAAGGGTAGCACAGTTGTTTAAGCAGAGGAGTAAGCCTTTTACTGAGTAGCTGTGCTATATATGACATGGGCTGGCACAAAGGGAAAAAAAAGTATGTCTGCATATTATTCTCTTTTCAGTTTTCAGTAAGTCTTTATTTCACTGTTTAAGGCCTTAAGCTCTACATTACTGTGTCAATAAAGCAAGCAGACAACACTTAATTTAGGGTTTTAATTGTACCACTGCGGCCTAAATCAAGCACCCAGACTCCATCTTTTTGATTATGGTTTATGCAAGAATGTTTGAGTTAGTTAGTGCAACATTGCACACATCTTACTGCTCAGCATTGCTTAAACTCAAACTCCCCTGGGTGCAATTCCAAAGGCCCCAAATAATGCATCTGGTGACCAACTGCTCCATATGTGTGTTTTTTTTCAAATTCTCATTTAAATATCTGACACATTTGGTCATGTACTAACTCTCACTAATTATTTTTAATTAAAAAAGTTACAAAAGTTCAAAACACTAAATCTGCAGTGACGCAAAGAAATGAACACAGTAGTAAGTAGTGTACTTTGGTACTCCTGTTACACTAGTTTTAATTGCTGCCTTGGAATTCAGTTAATTTCCAGTAAAATCTTAAACAATGGTTGTTATACATAATCTTATTTCATTGCAGGCTTTTTACCATTTGCAGTGTTAAATACTGTAGAAAGAATGATAGCCTATCATTAAGAGTTCTCTAAACTTACTGTGCACCAAATTGTAAAAGTATTGTCTTTTTATTTACTGAGATTATACCTTCCAGCAGCTGCATTTTTATACAATAAATACTTTTCAGACAATTGCTGGCCTTAATGCATGTCTAGATATGGCCAGATTCCTTATGTAAACTCAGTGGCAGTTTCCCAAAATCTTTTTTTAACCTAGTTTTTTTACTAACAGCTGTGGGAGATTCTGAGTGCCCTTCACTTCTTTTGTGCGTGCAAGCTCATAACATTCTGCAGCTCCATAGCTTGGGGCTTTGTGGTTCAGAGTCAGAAAAGTAACTACGTCCATTACAATTAATCTTACTTGCTGCGAATGTATTCAAATGCAGGTTGACTGAGTAAATAATGCAGCTTTTTTCCTTCGAGACATGACAGAATCTGAAATTGCTAACATGGTTCAATTTCACAAATGGTTCTTATGACATGTTTAATAAATTATAGGTCAAGACTCAGTGGGTGTGTTGTAATGAAGAAGCAATGCATATCGGTTAACTAGCCTGGGATCTCAAGCCAAAGTGAAGGGGGTGGCGGGTTGATCCAGCAAAGCCTGATAAAGTTTTTTGGCTTCAATACAAGGGATATATCATTACCATATGATCAGGAGTACCGGTGTGTGGGTGTCAGTCAGTGTTCTCTTCAGTTAATGGGATCTGCTTTTAGACTCGTGCTGAGGACAGAAACATAAGGGTTTTTTTCTACCAATTGTCATCCAGTGAACAAGCACATACGCCCACCCCTGCACACCTGCAACCCTTTCCCTAGGCTGAAAATCTACTGTCAACTGACCTCAGAACAACTTAGAGAACACTGTGGCGGGTCCCAGGAACTAAAAGGTATGGCTCTTGTCCAAACTAATTAATTAAGATGTGCAGCAAGTGAGTGTAAATTTAATTGCAACAAAAAATTTAAGTCCTGCCTTCATGGAACTTGATTATAGCCTTAACTTAAAGTGCATTGATCCCTCTCTATTTGCTTAGTCTGAAGTACTTTAAGAAACTAGGTGAGATGTATTTTATATATTTTTTTGTCAATATAACTCTCAAATGCTAAAAGTTTTTCTTGTGGCAGCACAGTTTAACGTTGAAGTACATTCCTTGGAGCATGTTTATTTTTGAACCGTAATGATGTAATGTAGACTGCAAAAATGTTTTATCCATTTACTCCTTTTTAATGGTTCTGAGTGTGGTTGAATGTGAATATGTTTGAATCTGACTCTCGCTGTTTCAAATACAAAGAAAAGTCTTGCAAAGTTGTTCTTGCAATTCTCTTTTTATATAATACGCTGTGACTGGACTGAATTAAACTCCATTCTGAAACTGAGTTTAAATGCTGTGAAACCCCAACTTGCTGTATTTTAACTATAATAGTCATTGCCGAAGGATTCTGTTTGTTGAACTTTGAAGTCTGAAACAATCGACTGGCACTAAATCATTGTTAGTACAATTTCTAAAATATTTCAGCTGATGACTGTCAAATTAGACTGAGAGTTACTTATTTTACTGCTGTTGCATTTAACCTTTTGTAAAGCTGTTCTGTTCTCCCTGCAGGGAGGCATTACTGAAGTCGCGGCATGTCGATAGCTGTGTGCAGATGATTCATAAAGTACAAGCAGAATCGTATATTTTGTGAGGAGCAATGTAATTAATGGGTTTAATAGTCTATTGGGTGACTTCACTGCTGTTTGGTTTTCTGAATGAGGCCCAATTTTCCTCTCATGTTCTGTGAATAAATACTAGGATCTGAGGGAAGTGCAAACCCCCCTCTTTCTTTCCCCCCATTTTCAGTTCCTTTCCCCAACACCCTTCTCACTGGTACAGGTGGTAGCACACCAGTGCTCAGGCTGTGGAGTTGCGTGAATCTGGGTGGATGCCACCATCTGTGCTTTGATACGACATGGACCCCTCTGCTTTCAAATGATGTTCTCCTCTGGTCTCCAGTTGTGCCTTCAGTCACTGCACCCCTAACTTCTGTCACTCCCTACCTCAGACCATTCTCCTCCCCCCACCTTTTAAACCCCTTTAGCTATATTTAAACCATAAGACCTTAGACCGCACCTATGGACTCCTCCTCCTCCCCCCATCTCCTTTGCTATGCAACGGTCCAGATGCTGTCCTGGATGTTGAGTGCTATATAAATGCAAGCTGCTGCTGTTGTTCTCGTCTCATGGGATACACCTCAGTTGCAGTGAGAGGTGTATCCCATGAGACCGTGGTTTCGATCTCCCTGCTTCCCCCCTTGCCCTCCATCCTCCCCGATCCTGACCCCCAGCTCGGGTCCAAAGCTCTGTCCGTCCAGCGCCTTGGGACATCCTCCCGACATGAAAGGCACTTAACAAATGTAATTTTGTTGTTGTGTATATGGGCAACGTGGTCCTTGGCCAGTAAAGTGGCTGGATTGGGAACTCATAGAGTGTGGAAATACAGGTTTGAATGCATTCCCCACATATTCTTAATCCGGAATGCTGTGCCACTTTCCTACCAATTTCCTTATGTGGCTTGATAGCTCAGTGAAATACGGGACCTTTAGGTTGTTGAGGTGAATCACAGTCCATTCAGCTTTTTACCCTTTAAAATCGATAAGAATAACGGAGTCTAATTTGTGATATCCTCAATGGAATTTCTCAACAAGAAGCTTGATTGTAGGAATGAGAATGTCTACTGGTAATCAGAAACACATCACACCAATCTTTAGGAACTCTACACCAAAGCAGTCCACCTTCAGTGGCAATTCTATAGGAAATATATTTCCTATATTCATTTCAATGGGAATTCTATGGGAAACCTTTCAAAATAGACCCAAGTCATTTAAAAGGATATCCTCTTCGAGCTTGTACCCTCCTCCATGGCATTAATGTTTCCATAGGACTGAACTGTCTGTAAGGATATATGTCTGGCAATTCAGGAAGATCCTCAATAATTCAGATTAAAACCTAGAGGTAGTGGCTTGTCTACCTCACTGCTAGCCCAAACTCTCATGTCTGGTGCAGTTCTGGCTAGACAACATCCATGGTGTATTGTGGAAACTATTGTAAACAAGAGCAATATTTGTTAATGATGGCTCAATTTTTCCCGTAAATACAGAAACGTTTTAGGGAATGAAAAATGTAATAATTTAGTTTGTGGCAATTAAAGATTAAAATATCAAATATATTTGGAGGAACAGAGATTTATCTTTAATGGGCTATTACACATGACCATTCCTCCCAGAGGCCTCCCACAAAATGGCTGCACTACGCAAACTACACCTAACTAATTTCTACATCAGCCAAGTACTTATTTATATTTTTCTATCAGATGTTAGAAGATTTACACATAGGGTGCAAGTCAAATCCATTTGCTTGTTGACTTGAAGAAAAATAGTGATCCTTATGTTACTGTAGGTAATGAAATGACAATTCTTCCATAACCAGTGATGACTTAAATCTAGCCCAGGAATGGGTGAAGAAGGCAACATCTTAGAAATGAATATCAAAAATGTATTAATGAAATAACTAATTTAGCCTCTATCCACTTCAGATCAACATGCTGCAGCTCGCAACTGCTCCAAATGTGTCAGGCAACAGCTCAGGGAGAAAGCTTGGTTGTAATTTAAGCATGTGTGAATTAGTGCTGAGCAACAGAGAATAGATTTGAAAAGGTTTCATGACATGACTTGTTTGTCTGAAAGAGACTGAGAAAACTCCTAAAATAATTCATTCACTTTGTATGAAATAACTGAGAGTTCAGAACAGATATAACATCAAATGGACTAAAGATCCTACTTCATCTGAACATCTCTTATTTCAAACTTTGATTCACAAACAAAAGTTTTGTGACTTTTAAACAAAATTTAAGATACTGCATAGCTTAAGGGCAGCACTTACCAGTAATTATTCGCGTTTACAATTTCCAATTTGCATTTATATAGCGTCTTTCACATCAAGAGGATGTCTCGCAATTTGGGTTGAGGTTGGGGTGGTGGGGGAGAGGAGAAGGCGAGAAAATGACCGAAGCCACAGTCAAAGAGGTCAGACTTGAGGTAGCCTTTGAAAGTGAGGAAGGAATTGTCATTCGTGAAACACGGAATGGCAAGCTATGAGTGACAACTAAAAAAACAAGCTCTGCAATTATTTAAACAAAAGCCTGTAATGTAAATTACACTGTAGAGTATTCTGTGGGGGAGAGGTAATGGAATATCGGAATCGAGCCAGCCGTCTGTGGCGGCCTCACTGAGTCAGGTGGGTCTGCAGTACTCCAGGACACTGCTGATGACAGTATAGCCCAGCCTGACTCATCGACAGGACCTGGAAGGACAGATCAGTTACTGGGGTCATGGAGTCATCCTACTAAGCTTCTGTTAACCCTGCAAGCCAAAGCTCTAATGGGTAGGATGGTCCTAGCTGGACAAGCAGCAGGAAAGGTTGCCAGGCAGCGATAGCATTGGCAAGCTACGCAGTTTTAGCTGGTTAGACTCCAGCAGTACTGCAACGCATACTCTGGGTCCCTAAGACTTGGCTCTTGTCAACCTGCCCCTAATATTTTCTGGAATTAGTTAAGCAGAATGTGTCCCTCCAGGAAGAGAGTGCGCATTCCATTCCAACAATCTATCTCTGGGATTTCCATGTGTATGGGGAATGCATGAAAATCTCAGCTTAGTTTGCATACTTTCAAGCATGGTGATGGGTTTCCATGTCTGTCAGACACCCAGCTGACCAAACAAAAGTATTCTGTGGGCATGACTTGCCATTTTGATTTTTCCATGGTGCTTTCCTACTATTTCCTATCTTTTGAGAATCTGGGAAAGAATAAATCTCCGGTAATTTATTTACCTATATTTATCACGTGGTACTTTTCTGGTTATGATTGGTTATAATGATGGTAAGGAATTGCTTTCTAATTCAAATAATTCACATCATTTTTGTCTCATTTTAATCGCTTCATTACTCTGAAGTAAATAGTAACAATCCTTGCATTTGATATCATACTTTTTCATGACGGTCTAAACATCTCAAAGTGCTTCAAAGGATTTAATATAAAAATTCTTTAACACTGAATGGAGTGTCAACCTGGACTGTGATCTCAAAGTCGCGACTTGGGGCTCGAACCCACAACTTTCCTCAAAACAAAAATGTTATCAGCTGAGCCTGGCTGATACCTAAAACAATGTTATGATATGATGGCCCTATCATTTTTCTTATTGGTCATGTCCCTACGCCTTGTGAAAGTATGGCAATTGCATCATATAGGAAAGGAAGCAAATAAATCACAATAAACAGTCTTAACATCGAGGATATAACGAACAGTTATTACATTTGGAAAGGACTTTTTTAAAAAGTTATTTAAATGACTGCAGACATGAGCTTTTTTATTCTGCATAGAGGTAGTTACGTTTTGTTTGTGGTATAACTTTTCCCCCAATTTATTCCTGTATCTCAAACCAGATGGATTTTAAAATTGATGTGTGTGGGGGGGCAATGTGTAGAGAGAGGCCTACAGTATCAGTGAGAGTGGCTAAGATGGAAGAGGAGTTAAGGAAGGGTGCGGTGATGTTTAATTGCAGACTTTGCCTTGTGGAATTTGTTGTGCAGAAGATTTAAAGACAAAAATAAAGCACAAAAGACTTTAAAAGATAACTTTGCATTTCTAACCATCATCCCTCTCTGTTTACACTACTTCATAGCTGAAAACACATCAGTTCTTGCAGCCTTTTCATTGACTGTATGGTAATCTATACTTCTACAATACAATACAAATTTACATTTATATAGCGTCTTTCACACCTGGAGGATATCTCAAGGTGCTTGAAGGCTTTTTGACTTGATTAATTAGTACGGTGTTATTTTCTCTATTTCATTATATTCCCATGGCTCTCGGTTGCTGTCAAGATTCCTGCTCCAGGTGGGATGGGTAAATGATCAATGCAATAGATATCTGTGCTTCATATCACCAATTACTTTACAGCCAGCCAATAGAACTGGGCTGGTCCAGTTCCTGTCAATTTACTCTCCTCACCCGAGTTGCTGCTCTGAGAGAACCAAACATGTCCCCTCTGGGAGTTCTGCTATCTGATTCGGATGGAATTCAAAAGCCTAATGCCTCTGCACATAAAACACTCTCTCATTTGTAAGTTTTGGGCAGCAGGGAATGGGCCTTATATTGCAACAGGATCTCTTTATATTGAAGAATTTGGCTGAATCAGAATGCTGAATACTTAATAGAGGAGTCAGAGGATAATAAATACAAAGTTTTGCTTGGAATCAAAAATAGGATAGCATCTAGTCAATTGTAAGTACAGTACTTTGACTCCATTATACACTCAATGCACCATATCTCTCAAAGGGGTTCCACAATACAAAGCCTCCAAAAGGTCTTGATTTATAAATCTAGCTGTGTTATAAGGCCTGGACCCAGACTCCTGACGTTTTCATGTCACACTTTATGCTCTTTTTACAGGATATTTACTACAAGCAAAATGGTGTGACTTGCAGAGACATGCATCATGGCAAAACTTTGCATACATGCCTAAAATATGTTTATATTTTTCTGTCTTTGAATTTTATGAGTGTCTTGCATAATTATACAGCTATAAATAAGTTTTTTTAACCATAGATTGCTTGTACATTGCTTTTGAATATTTGACAAATTGTTTCATCCTTAATGTTCACTTAAGAGCAAAACATACAAGTAACACTGTGAAACCTCACCGCTCTGATCTCTTTATCATGTAACTAAAAGTAATTGGACCAGTGGAATGCAAAGCTCAGTGTTTTAATATGAAGCAAATGGTCATCAGGTACCTGCCCAATTCCAATTATAGAACAATACAATGCACCAGAAGTTTTGGGGACAGATTAACCAATTAAAAGATGTAGATGAAGGTGCTGAGATAAGTTTTCAGAACCCGTATGATCTCTATAATATTGTGTTTTGTCCGATATGTATAATTCCTGAACATCTTTTCCGAAAAAAAAACATTGGTGCAAATCAAAAGCCTGCATGTTGAAAGAATTATGGCAATTAAAGTAAAGGCAGCAACTGGAACGTATTCCATTATTATAGTTGGAACACATTTCTGGTATTACCATGGTAGGAAAAAATGCTGTCTGCAAACAGTAGGCAAGAGATTTCTGAAAGAGACTGTGTCGTTAACGTAGCAAACGGTATGTGGTGCTTCACATCAAGTTGTGCTCTGTTTTCTCCTAGGTTAACGTTGCCATACTTGCACCAAACCATGCGCGTGGTTGTATCACTAGTATTCCTTCTGGCAGCCTGCTGGGCCGAACCATTTCAGCAGTATGAATTCCTTGATTTTCTGAAGGAAGATGAAGGATCTGCCTTCATCCCCACTGAAGAGCCTATTCTACCTGGACAGATGTGCCCTTTTGGCTGCCAGTGTCACTTGAGAGTTGTGCAATGCTCTGACTTAGGTAAGCACCTTTAAGTCCTACTGTTTAAATATCATCTATCTCTAAAATGAATAATAATAATAATAATCCTTGCATTTGATACAGCTCTTTGCACGTCTTCTAGACGTCCCAAAGTGCTTCACAGAATAGACTGTAAAGTGAATTGACCGTATATTTGTGGGCGAACGCGGCAGCCAATTGCGCACAGCAATGTCCCACAAACAGTCGTGGATTGAAAATGACCAATTTTATTATTGTTTTGTTTTTTTGGAGGGATTATTATTAGGCTCTGTGTGGAGTAAGGAAACTTGCCCAAGGTTTCGCCCTCTGCCTGGAATTGAACTCAGGTCTCTTACTTGCAAAGCGAGTGCTCTAACCACTGAGCTACAGGACTCCTGTATAGATCTCTGAGCTAAAAATCGGACACAATGAGATGGAACCAACTGAATTATTGCTGGGAATGGTGGTTGAGGCCAGGACACTGGACTCATTTTAAAAACAACTTGATACTGTGATGGGAGGATGGGAAGGTGGGTATTCTGGTGGGTTGAGATTAGATGGGTAAAAAGATGTCAGTCATCCAAACTAATCTTGTTATCTTGTGAAAAGGAGCTTGTTGGAACTGGTGGGTAATTGAAACTCTTCTTGAGTTTGTATTCTTGTATCCTTGCTCAGTCCTTTGAGATCTCTTCTCAACAGTTAGAGGGATGTTACAGGGTCAAACAAACCAAACAGGATTTGAAGAGATACAAAGCATTGGAAGGAAACCAAGTTAAGTGCTCTGCAATTTTGACCTCAGAAGAAGCCTGTACTGCTGGTAGTGCTGGATTCTGTGCCTGTTCTTATGCCTGTTTGTTTGAAGTATGCAATATGTCACTTCTGAGTTCTGTGCCTATTGTAGTATGAATGTTATAGTAATAATAATCCTTGCATTTGATATAGCGCTTTTCACGTCTTCTAGACGTCTCAAAGCGCTTCACACAATATGCTGTAAAGTGAATTGACTGTATATTTGTGGGCGAAACGCGGCAGCCAATTGCGCACAGCAGCGTCCCACAAAGAGTCGTGGATTGAAAATGACCAGTTTATCATTGTTTTTTTTTCTTGAGGGATTATTATCAGGCGTGTGGAGTAAGGAAACTTGCCCAAGGTTTCACCCTGCTGGGAATCAAACCCAGGTCTCTCGTTTGCGAGACGAGTGCTCTAACCACTGAGCTACAGGACTCCACATGTTCCCCACATGCTCCACACACTGGCCTTGAAGCAGGGGTTACAGAGTTTGTTGCATTTCTAAAACTGGACTTGACTGAATCTCCCCTTGCACCATGGATTGAATTTCTCACAATCCATTCTTTGCTGGAATAACATTTAAAGTAGTTGCAGGGTTCCATTTACATGCTATGACACTTGACTTCACACTACTGAATCATTCAGCTTCCATGCCACATCTGTTCTTAAGCATGATAGCATCTGTTTCACCAGCACCACAAGGAACGACTGCCCAAGTAACATGTTCAGCATATTTATTTGAGTGGTGTTTGTTTTTATAAAGCAGAAGGTTACCGTAAGAGGGTGGTTACTGTAAGGGCTCTTCACAAGAGTGGCCCATCTGAAAAAAAACATCGAGCCTATATAATTTGGCCTCCTCAACCTCTCAGACCTCTCTCTCACTCGGGCAATGGCACAACATTCGATCTTCACTTCCATTTGGTCCCTGACCCAGACTGCTTTTCTTCACCTTTGTCACATTGCCCTTCACGGGCAGACTGCAGTTCCCAGCCTCCCCCACACCACCATTGGTTACTGATCCTTCAGCACTTCACCCCCACCCATGGAACTCTCTCTTACCTCGTCACTCTGTTTTGCCCCCCCCACCCCCTCCTCTCTGTTTGTCTGTAAATACTGCCTAAAAATATACCTCTTCAACCATGTCTCCCTCTCCCTCCCCTCCTTTGCTTGGCCTCTGACACTGTTCCTGTGAAGTGCTCCGAGACATTATTCTACATGAATAGTGCTGCATAAATGCAAGCTCTTGTTCTTGATTCAGAGTACCATCTCTACCATGTTCCCACATCAGCATCAAGCTGTTGTTTTAGATGAGTCCAATGCCCTAAACCACAAGCTGGTAACCTCCATTTTCCCTTTACAGCCCTGCAACCATATGCAATGTTTTCCTACTGCCTTGGTATATCTGAAAGCATTTTATTTTCTGACTTTATTTTATCCGTTAAACATCTCTACATCTCTATAACATTACCTCTGAGTCGCCCGCTTTCAAGATTAAAGGGGCTTGGCTCCTCCGGTCATCCCTTGTAGCAAACCCTCCGACTCAGAGGATTAGCTTTGTAGTTCTGCTACACATAGCAGGAATTCAGCAAGATACATAATCATTTATAAATGAAATTTTTTTGACAGCAAGTCAAAACATTACTTTGCTGGAACATCTAATTTTTTTTTCTAAAAGCAGATGTTCTGTGTAAATTTAAAAAGAGCAGTTTGTTGAAGGGCAGAGCGAGGGACTGAGGGGCTGGGCTGGCTCCGAGATGTTGGTCAGGAGCAGATGGTTTTCCTCAGTCCAGTTCAGTGCCAAATAAACCTATAGGTTTGAGAAGACACATGTCTGGAGAACACATAAGCGATGCGCTTTGGAATACGGCACATAAGAGATGCAGGCTGGAAAAAGACAGATGAATAGTCAACCAGGCAAATCTGTAGCTGTCAACATTAGAATCATCACAACTGCTGTTTTCCAGCACAAAAGCAGCAGTCTGGGACTTCGATATTGAGAAGCTGCAGCAGGGAAATAGCCACGGTTACAATTACTCGGACACATGCATAGTTTCAGAATGAATCCAGGCAAAGCAAGTCTGCTTTGGTTCCATTACTTCACTTAGGGGAAAATATCAGATGTCCAGGAAATTGTTCTTTGGAGTGTTTGTATTTCACCTTTTTCTGATGTTGTCTTGGCACTTCACGTTCAGTATGAATGTGTTCTCCAGACTTTTTGGATAGTCCATTCATTCCCAGAGAATTTCCATTTGATAAGTAATTTCTTTCCAGCATGATGGTGTAATATTTCCTGATTCAGTTCCTCCTTGGTATTCTGGTAACTCCCTTCCAGCTGCCATTGTGGTTGAGATCACAGGGAATCATGAAATTAATAATAACCCTAATAATTAATCCTTGCATTTGATCCTTGCCTTTCACATAAGGAGGACGTCTCAAAGCACTTCACAGGATTTACTAATTTACTAATTTATGAAGTACCTAATCCAAGGTGAGCCAGCATATAAATCCAGGGAGCAGAACAGAATTTCAGACAGGGAAAGCAAGAATATGTGAGAGCAAAACACTCTGGCTATCTCAAGAACATACCAATTAATTTGAACCTGACCCCACAAAGGCCAGCAAATGCCCTGTAAGAACCTGGAAAATTAAAACAGTAATAATAACCCTTGCATTGGATAGAGTGACTTTCACAGCATGAGAAGCTTCCAAAGCACTTCATATCATACATTGTAAAGTGTAGTGACTGCATCTTGTAGGGAGATATGGCAGCCAATTTATGTCCAACAATGTCCCACAAACAGCCAAATATTGTAAGAATTTAGTTGCCACTGCTCGTCACTGCACTAGTTGGCATCTTGTCTCAATGTTAAAAGAACTGTGTAAACGTTAGCAAACCTCAAACAACACTAGGAATAGAAGTTGTTTTTTTCTCCTCACAGAACAGAGAAAACGTAGAACGGACCGTTAAGAAAAATTGTTCATGTGATGTTCATTGATTTATTGGTACTGGTTAATTGTTGAGTTAGGATCAGTTTTGCAGTTTATTGACGTAGACTGGGCTGAGAAAATAGTCCCTGAGATATGTTAATCTGTGGAGGGGAATGCTCCCTGTGGAGTGGAGTATACAAGGAATTTTACTGGTTGCCTCAGGGTTTGGGCATTGTCTTTATGGTCCTTTCTCCTGATAGATTAAACCATCGGAGTTTTGCTATGATAAGAAAGGATTTATATGGTGATTGAAAGAAAGACCATATGGGATTATCACACCACATGCTTTGTTTAGCTTTTATTGGCAAAGATGTCCATAAATTTAGATAAACCTCAGGCTCATTGGGTTATTATGCTATTTGCATAGCAAAGAGTTAACTGTGTGTGTACTTTAGTTGAGATGATATTACAAGTAAAGGTATTATATTTGAATGAATGCATTTATGATAGAGAACATTATTTAAACTTAAACCAGAAAAATGTATATGGTGTTGAATCTGAGTTATACATACCTAGAGGCTTAAAATCCAGCCAGTGTACCCATTGGCACAAAAGACTCTGCTTATTTTAAAACTGAAGATTTCAAACAACGTCCTTATCTTTATGACTGATAACCTGGAGGCTAGTCTGCTTATCTGATTCTTCAGCTGGTCATTGATAGGGTAACCCAGAAAGGCTGGAATGAATTGCCTGAGTCTTTGCAAGATTCAGCCACAAGTCTGGATTTTGGCATTCATCATTACTTCATTTTCCATGACAATCAGAATCAACCTAACGGCCTCAGGGAACAAACCTGCCCAGTGCTAACCTGAAGACATGCAGAGGCCATTCAAGTTACATCATAAGCAAATGGCTTCTCCACTGTGTACCCTCCCTCAGCAGTACCTCCTGTTACCTGCTGGTTCCTCATACCCCAACCAGAATATAAACATAACCTAATAATCTATGGAATTAGGTAAACAGGGAACATCCCTACAGGGAGAGAGTGCACATTCCATTCTGCACTCAGAGAAGTTGTCATGTCTGGGTGTGTATGTATGTGGAACCGAGTCTGGTTTGCTCAGCCTTAAGCACGGTGATGGGTTTCCACTCGTGTCAGACACCCGGCTGACCAAACAATGAAAATCATAAATTGTGTTCCAATATCACATTCGCTCAAACATGTCCAATACATAGAATGTTTGGTTTCCATTCAAGCAATGTAAACTACCGCATTTAGTCTAGCACACTGACAGTAGATGCTGAACCCAGATTGTGGTAATAAAGTGTTATAAACAGGGGCTGGGGGGGCTCAGAAACTGATCAGTCCATATAAACATGATTCTGATAATATGTCAGATACATCAGTAGCACATTCTTCAACATTGTCCTCTAGACCCAGATGTAATTACTTCTCCAAAAATATTTGCCTATTACAGGATTGCTGTCCTGCCGGTTGGAAGGAAACTATACCTGCCTCATGGCGGTACTTGTTTATTCCTACCTCCATAGATTTAGAGATTATAGGGAGATAATATTCAGTCTTAAGAACATCTGTTTGTCTGTCGGCAAGATAAATCAAAAGGAAATTTATAGATGTGCCTCTTGAAATCTACTGTTAAGAAAATCTACGTTGCAGTATCAGATTGCCAGAGGCTAGTAGCTCTATTTTTTCTTTGTCTAGTCTTGTCTCAGACACAGTTAAATAAATATTATGCCCTTTTCTCAACGTATTCATTTTATTTTAGGAAGCACCATTGTGCAATGAAAATGTTTTATATTCCAAGTGGTGAACCCTTTACATTTTGGAAATAATAAGAGTGGCGTTTGCAGTATTACTTAACAAATTTCTTTATTAAGGAATCAGAGGCATGAGGAATGCAAATGGTGTGTCTTGTTGATCCACAATAACTCGAATGCAACCTAAGAATGACAATTGCCCCCCTACTATCTCCAGTATCTTTCTTTAGAAAATGTGCGAATCGCTTACTGGAGTCTAACCGTTTACCTTGCTTTGTTCCCTTCTAAATGCTGCACCTCAGCAGGAACAAACATCTTCAGTGGAGAACGGAAAACAGGGAGAAATAAATGTGTCAGTGTCAGTAGACAGTTAAGACTGTTTCAGGCAGGTCTCAACTATGAACAAGAGTTTGGTTGGCGATGGTTTAGTCTTGGATCAGGACTTTGGTGTCATTTGCATAAATTGTCCCACACCATAGTTTTGACCCCAACCATTTTCCACAGGTTCTGGCATTTACAGCCCTGTGCGTGTGCTAATAGGTGTCTAGAAGAAGGGATAATAGTGTGATGGGGACTGAGTGAACTAAAAGCAACAAACGTACACAAGTTCCTCGTTGACACTCAACCATTGAATGTTCATGGCTTTTAATTCTTCTTCTGATACAGGTAAGACTTCGGTGCCAGAGAACATCCCTGCTGACACCACCCTGCTTGACTTACAAAACAATAAAATCACAGAAATAAAAGAAAATGACTTCAAGAACCTTCGGAACCTACATGTAAGCTACCCTTAAAAGGTTAACGTGTTCACAGCTTTCGTTTTACTTTTGCAATAAGCTTCTGTAACAAGTAACATTACTCTGAATTCATCTCAACTCACCTCAACTCATTTCCAGAGTGCTTACAATTTGGCAAATTCTGAAACGCATTCTTACTTTTGAAGTTGCCTTTTTGTAAGTTTCTTTTAAAACTATGGGAAACTGGGTTAAAATTAAGACTGAAACCAGCAATTTGCCAAATTCTGGACACTGAGATGATACAGAAATAGATTAAATCTTGACCCAGGTAGATTTTCTTTCTCCTCATCTTGTAGGTTCACATAGATCAAACACTCTTTCTCTCACATTCATTTGGTCACACAATCCACGATTGTTTGTGGGACATCTCTGTGTGCAATTGGCTGCCATGTTTTGTCCACAAAACACAAAATCCATTTCACAGTATATTCTGTGAAGCGCTTTGAGACGTCTCAATGATGTGATTGGCGCTGTAGCAAATGCCAGGATTATTATTATATTATTATCAGACTGGAAATACTGTAACGTAATTCTGTTGTCTTTCATGGTTCAGCTTTAATTACAAATTCCATTTCCAGTATCAAGTTGTGACTAATATCCCCTCCTGTGACTAATTACCTTTTAAGATAATTTGTTGATTTTTAATGTTTTAAATGCACTTTGTTCATGAAATTCTATTACGTTGAAATTAGCTTAAATGCATAAGAAATACAAAATATTGCACAAAATGATACCTTATTTCCCAAAGGATCTTTTCTCGCCCTTTCTCCCGTATCTGTAATATATAATATCCCTGTAGTTGAATGGGTGGAGTGGTCCAGCATTTGGACATCTCATAATATGAATTGCATTTGCTGCCCAACACAGCAGTAGCTTCACTCCCAACAGCTCAGAAAGAGCCTCTGACCTTCCAACGAAGGGCATTTGTGAATGGCACCCAAGGGAATCTGAAATACGTTTTGCAAGATTCCAGTAAAGTGCTGATTTGATTTCCCTAAAATCTGTTTCTTGTGGGACACGTAGTTCAAAAGCTTAAAACGAGAGTAATCATTTTTATATTTTAATTCATAACAAAACATATTCCATGGAAAAATTTTGCAGCCTTTTCCAATGAATGACAGTGGCAGAGACAATTCAGGGAAGATGATCCTAGCTTTCTACCAAGGCGGACACAAAACAGTAACATTTTCTGATTTACTCAGAGCACAGATGGAACTCTAGTAAACTTCAGCTGAGACTGGACTGACTATTTTCCTCTGTGGGCTCCCAAGATATTATATCAATGGAGTTCAATGGCCTGAAATCAGTGTAAAGTCACTGGTCTGTAATTTATGTGGCATTGTACTAATGTGCACTTTCCTTAAATTACAGCTTAGTTTGTGCTTATTAAGAAGAGGAGGAAGCCCTTAGCACTAAAATACTATAATACCAGACAATTAAAGAGACAGTATTCCTTTTTTACCAAGGCTGTCTTTAAAAAGTGCAAAAATATTTAAATGTGCTCTCCTGTCCTCTCCTTTTTGAGTGTTTGAGGAAGGTATTTCATGGCAATGAAGCATTGGCCCAGAGAAAGTGAGAGAAGAAGGGAAAACTGGGTGACAAGCTGTCCTGTGCTAATGTTCCACATTGCCTTTTGGGTTCCAAAGTAGCATTGACAGAGGCCTTGCACCAGATTGCTTGGTAGTCAGGAATTGTTGTGGCACAAGAACATCGGAAAAGGACTTCTTAAAGAAACAGGATTCATCTTTGAAAACCCAGCAATTAACCTTGTGCACACTATAAATCTTTTCATTGTTTACCCTACAACTCTTTGTTTCTCTGTTAATATATTTAGTGGTTTGAAATCGTTACTATATTTGGTGCAACTTTAAGCGTGTGTAGAATTGGTTTAAAATGTAATTATATAGTAAATGCATTCCACTTCAGTTCTGCGGTTTGATGCTAAACCTTGACATGTTTACCCACTCAGGTTAAGTTTATTGGATTTTCTCATATTCTAGGCCTTGATCCTTGTTAACAACAAAATTAACATCATCCATCCCAAAGCCTTCGTTCCTCTGGTCAAGCTGGAAAGACTGTACCTGTCAAAGAATCTGTTGAAAGAAATCCCAACAAACATGCCCAGGTCACTACAAGAACTGCGTATCCATGAGAATGAAATCACCAAGGTGAAGAAACATGCCTTTGACGGCCTCACACAGGTGTACGCCTTAGGTATAAATCACTCTATCTAATTTATTTCCCTTTATATGTAATGGTATCAAATATAATACTTCAAAAATTCCAGTGAATTGATTTTGATTGAATGTTGCTCCCAGCGGGATGATTGTACATTGATGCTGTTCTAAGACTTTAATCCAGCTGTTTGACCTCAAACTCTTCAATGAATGTTTGAAGTCTCATTATTATCCAGATCCAATCTGCAACATGCTACAAAAGGCCTTAATATCTCATTGGGAATCATTGTAGACAAGCTTTGCTCTTTGAATAGCAAGTGCCAGCATGCACTAAACATGCAAATATATTCTTGCAGTACAATCTTAAGCAGTAAATGTTTTCATGTCAATCTCAATGTTGTTTGTTTCACCCGTATTAGTTTCAAAGGGGAACTAGATTAATATCTAAAAGGTGCAAACTACGGGGGAATGGGGAAAGGGCAGATAAATGGAACCGAAAGAATTTCTCTTAAAAGAGCCAGTGCAGACATGGTGCTTGCGCTGTCAATTCTATGGTTTTAGTTACTTCTGGCCTCAGCCAATACCACCGAATCACGGAACATTTGAAAAAATGCTGACGTGATGGGTGATCTGACTTTCTCCCTTTGTTGGGAAGGGATCACTTTTGTGTGCCATAATTGAGACTGAGAACGAATTGTGGGCAACAAATTATGCTCTGTTATTCCATTGCACAACTCTGAAGTTGTAATTCATGTTACTGACAGACATATTTTCCTATGCTTTTAACAGGAAATTGAAGCCGCAATAAGCGGTCCTACCACACTGCCAGCATACCACTCTTTTATAGATAACACAGGCTTCCTGCACATTCCCAATGCCTCCATGCCACCATCTGTGACCGTGCCTTCAGCCACTAATTTGTGGAACTCCCTGCCTCAAACTCTCTTCATCTTTCTTTCAATCCACTTTAAGACCTAGGTCTTCAACCAAGTCTATGGTCACCCACATACCCCCACCACCCCTTTTTTTCCCAAAGGATTTGTTCTTCACATCAGATAAAACTTAGAAAATGATGCATTCTTGCCATACAAAACTGATTAGTCTCCAGCTCATTGTCCAGCTAAGACCAATTTACCTACTAGGGTTTTGTCTGGCAGGGTTATTAGGAGCCAAGTAGGAAGAATCCTAGCTCCCATTGACTGATCTGTCCCTCCAAGTCTTGCTGATGAGCTAGGCTGACTGGTCTGTCATCAATAATACTGCGGATGTGTATCTAACATAGCAACCAGCCTTCGGAGACCAGTCTTGATCTGAGGATCAAATAATTCCTTATCTTTATGAATCTTCCTCATACCTGGTTCATCTTCAACAGGTCACTGACATTAAATGGTTGCAATTGTAATTATTTTGACAATTCAAGTGAGTAACACTTTTTTTTAAAACACTTTCCTCACAGAAATGGGCAACAACCCACTGAAAAATTCCGGGATTGATAGCGGAGCTTTCCATGGGCTGAAAAAACTCTCCTTCATCCGACTTTCTGAAGCTGCTCTCACTGCTATTCCTAAAGGTAATAAACTGCAGGGAGCAATTGGTCCATTTAACCCCTTACTTCCTGCGCAAGGAATGCAATCTAAAATGCAATGTATCAACTGATCTGGAGGCATCTCAAAATGTTGCTTTTTTTTAATAATCGATTTAATACCAAGGCAATTTCCCCCAATTTAATTACTTTTAAATTTAATTCACAAAATATTGGAAGTTTGTAATGTGTTTGACAATTAGCAGTGCAGGTAGAAGTAAGTGGTATGATATTGATGATGTTGGTTGGTGTGCAGTATGTTTAAATGTGAACCTCGGTGTGCACAGTGTAAGGATTATTAGCTGAGTTGGTTGCACCTTCAAAAGGATTTTTTTCAAACAAAGGAATACTGGAAATCTAAAATAAAAGCGTAAAATGAGGCAAATGTACACAAGGTCAATCAGTATCGGAAAGAGAGCATGGGAGAGGGATTAACAAGAACTAGGAGAGAGGTTAACAAGGACTGGAGGAAAAGGTTTAACAAGGATTGAAGGGAAAAGGGTAACAAGGAAGGCATGGGTTAACAAAGCGGTCTTTTTATTAGAATAGAGATAATCTGTTGCAGATGTTCACATTATATACTGCACAATTATTCAGCATCATGTTTGCTCTAAATTATCTGTGGATTATGATGAAACGAACCAGTCATATTGCCAGCTAATGTTTAATTCTTTGTCTTGACATGATTTACAATTTTTTTTCTGACTGATTTTTTTCTTAACAGGAGTTGAACTAGAAATAAGGTTCAGAATAGATGTTTTTAAAAAAACGCAACAAAGACCTTTGTTAGACAGAGAAGTTACAAAACAAATGTTCAATTTCCTGTTAATTCCATCCAATGATCTGACTGCCAGCCTGACTGCCCTGGGCTTTCAGACACAGACCCTAATCACACACAGAACTTCACTAGCTCCACATTAAAAACAGGAGATTTCTTGATTTTAATAGATCTTTTCTTCACAATAATAAAGAAGGGAAATATTGTTGTCAGTTGCTATTGATATGGTTCAATAAGACTGTTTACCATTCACTTGAAATAATATATTATGGTATAATTCCTGCATTTGATACCAAATGTTTCACACATCAAGATATTTTAAACTGTAGTCAATCAGAAGCTATTCTGCATGAGAATAGCAGGCCATAAATGACCTAGATTCACAGACTCAGCACATGTAAGAAAAAAATGAAAGAGATAGAACTTACAAATTAGAAATGCTGGGAGTGAGCGGCAATGCCAGATGTGCCAGAAGTGACGTTAATCTGAGGTCCTGGATGCCTGGGTTCAGATGGGCGTTAGAAGATCTCACTCCTACAAGTATACCTACATTAGAAAAAGGAAGTTGTTTTTCACCTGATTGCTTGGCCAATAACCATTTGGATGGATGGGTTGTTCACCTCATGCTATATATGAGAAGTTAACAGTGAAAATGGATGTCACCTTTGCCTACAAAGAAAGGCACCACACTCAACAGGTGTCTCACAAAGGGTTTTGTGGGCTTTTGATATAATGGTCAAAACTGTGCTGATTGGATTTCTACATTTGATATTGTATTTTGATATTTCTATAGACTCATCAATAACTTGTTTGTTTACCAGGTAATAAATATAAATGAACAAGTATTTCTTAATCTTGTATTTTCAATGAGAGAAAGCAAGTTCTCTATTTGTTTTATGAGTCATTTAATGAGCCCAGTTGATTCTAATAATTCTCAAGTGAATAATTTGGACAATTTTTTTCCCCCAAGGTCTCCCATCTTCTCTCTCTGAAATCCATCTCGATGGCAATAAAATCACTCAACTTAAAGCTGATTCCCTCAAGGGTCTGAACCACTTAGTCAGGTAAAATAAAGTGGCAGTCAACAATGATGTTCAATTCTATTTCACTTGTAAGTTTTCTTTTCTCTGCCTCCCCTTTTCTGACAGGGGAGAATGATTGCTTTGAGTTCCACAAGAAGGCGCTCCCTCTAATTTTTCTCCCCCTCTGCAACGGGCAGCACCTTACTTATATTATTCTGATATTAGAAAGATATGCACTCCCATATGAATACTTCTTAAATGTATTTATTCCCCTTGTATATAATCCTTCCTGATGTTTTGTGTTGGTGGGTGAGCTATGAGAACTTTGCATGTGTTTGTGCCAGAACAGGATACTTGAATTGATAAAGTGTGACTGTACTCTGCTTTGTGATATGTTCTTTGCTGGATTCAGAAACTCATGTCAACACCTACCTTGTTGCTCCCCGAGAGTCCCAGGCATAAACTTCACCATTTACAAAAATAATCGTATGCCTCCATGTTTTTGCCAGACATATTGGAAATATTAGGAGTTGATCTTATACAATATTGGGTACATTTTGTGCAGACAGTGTTGTCAGTGTGGATATCAACGCTCACTGGGATACTTATCACCACAACATGATGATAATAATAATAATAATCCTTGCATTTGATATAGCGCTTTTCACGTCTTCTAGACATCTCAAAGTGCTTCACAAAATAGACTGTAAAGTGAATTGACTATATTTGTGGGCAAAATATGATGACATTCAAGGGAAGGGGGAACAATTAGTACTGCAAGTTTAGTATGAACTAATTCGCACAGGAAATTCTATGGTCAGTATCCAAACATGCTTTTTACACTGTACAATTAAATCACAATCTAATTTGCTCTTTTATGTATCACAGGCTGGGGTTGAGCCACAATGAGATCACTTCTGTTGACAATGGGACCCTGGAACATGTTCCACACCTGAGAGAACTCCACCTTGACAACAATGCACTCGTCAAAGTACCGGGCGGATTACCTGACCACAGATACATTCAGGTAAGTAGATCAAAGAATGCTCAAAACCTGACATTTAGGAATAGGACCAAATCTGTAGTATTCGTTAAGATGTAAATGGCATAAGGAGGAATCCCCATAGGATCTTCTGTGGACAATTTAGCCAGTCAAGTCTGTGCTGCCATTCCATTTGATCATGGCAGATCACAATCCCTTCACCTCGCTCCCTCCCTTGGCTCCTTCAAGGCCCATCTCAAGACCCTCACCTTTGACCGTGCCTTTGGTCACCCTTCTACCCCTACTCTCCCTGCCATCCAACCCTCCTGATCCCAACCTACAACTCAGATGCAAATCCCTGACTGTCCAGCTCCTTGGGATGTCCTCCCGATGTGAAAGGCGCTACACAAATGTGGTTTGTTGTTGTTGATCCCATTTTCTACCATTTCCCTAGAATCACTTGATACTCTTATTGCCAATATTATGGATGGATTATGGATAGTTTTATGCTATGGAATGGCAATCAATAGGAATCAGACCTCACAGAATAGTAGCTACTCATCTATTCAGTGTCCCTGACAGTCTAAGCATTTTCTAGCAACGCTACTTCAATGTCATACCATGTTAAATCTTAAACTGTCGTGCCCCAATAATTAAAACTATAAACAACTGTTTTGTTTAACATGCTATTTTATATATAAAATTTTTTCTCAGGACGTTGTCAATAAGTACAGTTTTGTAAACATTACGTATGAACTCTTCTGTCCCCAGGTTATTTACCTCCATAGCAATCGCATCGCTGCTGTGGGTATTAATGACTTCTGTGCTCGTGGCTACAACACAAAGAAGACTCTGTATTCTGGAATAAGTCTCTTTAATAACCCTGTTCCGTACTGGGAAGTTCAACCAATAACCTTCCGCTGCGTAACGGACCGTAGAGCTATCCAGCTTGGAAATTTCAAGTAAAACCTTCACAATCTGTAAGAAGACAATGTTTGCATTTAGTGTTGAACATCTTTCATGCAGTAAAGACTCTCAAGAACTACTCAAAGGCATAAACATGCAGTCAACTGTAGCTGACTAAAAATGCTGCAAACATATCTTCATTATTCTGACCATCACTATAGAAACAAACATATCATGCATTACAGCCAGTCAGCTCAGTAATTTATTATCTATTGTCATGGAAACTGTAGTATCTTATTCTGTGACTCCCATTCCTGTCAACTGTTTATTCCTTCTTCTCTGCTTCTTTTAATATCCTTTTAAAATTCTCAGCAATTTTTTAAAAAAAGATAGCAATTGCCAGTTAAAACAATTTTGACCAAATTCACGCGAAAAAAAAACACCACAAGAGTAATTCTCCTTGTTCCTATTTTGCAATGAACTTTTGGATTGTTGATTGACAAATTTCCCAAGTTCTGTAAACTGTATGCATTGTGACCAGCATGTTCGCCCCACACTGACTAAAGTGATGACTAAGCAAAATTGTCTGCTGTAGGCCTGTGTGTTTTTTATTTTTTTCTAAAAAGAGGGATTTTTATGTTTTTATGTTCAACATCTTCTAGACACATGTACATGTCCTGTTACTTAACAGTGTGGAGCTTTACAGTTTAGACTTGTATATCTGTAGGAATGTAGACCTGTAACCTAATTGCAATATCAAACATTCTATAAAACGTTAAGCTCCCAAGTACTTTGTTGCTGCAGGGTTATAAAACTTGAAAGTGCTTTGGATAAATAATCAAAATAAACATACTGTATTGAAAATCTAGCAAGTATGCAGTATACACTGTACACTACACTGATATATTGTACAACTGGTATGACATTTGATCTACCTGTGTATCTCTCTATACTTAACCTCTGCAATGTGGACACACAAGATTCTGTACTACTATTTTATAAGCATAACCTTTTAAATTACTGGTCACTTCCTTCATTGTGCTAACAGTCTTGGGATCCGGTTAGTATATAATGGGAGAGAAATGCCACTTGGGTCTGAATTTACTCAATTGATCAAATAAAATCTTCTTAGCAGAGTTCTAGATAGTCTGTAGCTTACATAGGGAGAAGCTGGGGAGATCAATGAGCAGGACATTAGAGTAATTGAGTCTGGAGATGGTAAAGGCATGGATGAGAGTCTCCACAGCATGTTTGGGGGGGAGGCGATGGCTGATGTGGAGGAGAGGAAAAGCAAGGCTGTGAGAGCACGTGTAAAGTTTGATGGATAATGGGAGTCGAATAAAGCATTGAAGATCTGCACTAATTTCACGAGGCAATATTATACTGTCACATCTTTAAAAACAAACCCAATAATTCTCTGCTTCATGACATTTAGAAAAATCACAATAAGAAGAACAATTTAGAAGAATAACAATAATTCTGTTGCTTGGATCCTTTATAATAATCTATGCTTTTGACTTAGTGCCTATAACCACTGAAAGCACGTCACAAATAAAGCGCAGTGACTCTATTTGTAGGCAAACATGGCAGCCAATTTGTACACACAAACAGCCCCACACACAGCCATGAAGTCAATAATTTTATCTGGAGGATTGGTGGTCAGGACACTGCGAGAAACTCCCTTTTCTTTTCGAATGGTGTCATGGGATGTTTAATGCCAACCCAAGCAAGCAGATGAGATCTTGTTTAATGTCTTATCCGAAGGATGGTACCTCTTACAATGCAAAGTTTCCACCAGCACTCATTGGAGTGTCAGTCTACACTGGGTGTTTTATGCCCCAAATTGGGTATGGAACCCTTGACCTTCTGACCCACAGATGGCAGTGCTTTCAACTGAGCGAGGATGTCACCTTTCATATTGTAATCGGAACCAGTTAGTGGTTAATATTTATATTCAGTCGGTTGCTGATACATGTGAAAGCTATCACCATTTTTAGGAGTATCCAAACCAAATTAGGAGTTCCACAGATTGTACACACTGCCACTTGCCACTTGCACATGGGAATTTCCCTTTGTCTGGAATGACCTTCTCTCCCTCAGAAGAACATACCCTGTTTATCTCATTTAGGAAATTATTAGTTTCAGGTTGGCAAGACACAAAGCTTGGGAACTGCTGGGGGTATGTTGGCCTAATGCATTGGAATTTACCCATCTAAGATTGCATAGCTTGCCATTGATAGCACTATCTCACAATCTTATCCAGCTGGGACTGCCCTTCCTCTTGGGGCCTTGGCTTGCAAGGTTAACAGGAGCCAAGTGTGAAGAATCCCTGCTCCTAGTGCTTAATCTGATCCTCCAACAAGCCAGACTGGTGGGTCAGTATCTAAAGGAGCTTGGAGGGCCGCGGATCCAGCTGGCTCAGGAACTGGATTACTGAGACCGCCAGAGGATAAACTTGATTCCAACACTCCATTTCCAGATGCGTCACCTTGGAGCCAGCTCAGCCTGAAGGAGATCCAGGCTTACCTCACCCTGCTCCAAGGAGGATAGTCTAATCAACCACCAGGTAACTTCTAAATCAGTCTTCCTATGAACTCCTGTAACCACAGTAACATTTGTTCATGACAAATGCATTCAAGTTTCCTAAGACTCTTGAGTTATTACTTTACGGCAATTGTTCGAGAAGCCATACATCGCAACACTGCAAGTGGTCGCAGAGAACAATAAAATTGCAGCGTTTGCTTTTTCTTGCCCGCTGCAGGCTCCAATTCAACAGCTTGCCCGTATGGTTATATATCCTTAAGAAATTAAAACTGCTTGACTGGACTAGTGCCATCACAAATACACTTTTATCAAAACCACACATGCTCTGCTTCTCTGATGTCCTTCCATAACATCCCCATATGTGCTAGGAAAGGGGGAATGTCAGTGCTGAAGGCATTTTATTTTTAATATCCAGCAAGCAGAATGTGACAATTGTTTTTGGCCAGGCATTTGGAAGTCTTATTTTTCTGCTGAGGTTTTCGAATTGAATTTCATGGCTCGATTAAATCCAAGCTCGAAGAAGACAAAATCGAGAAAATTATTTTCCCTGACTAGCTCCAGCTGCAGACAAATGAAACAAAATATAGCAAATCGTATGCAAGCCTCATCCATTCTTAGTTACATAGGAAAATAGTACAAAGCCAAGAAAGGCCATCGTGATCCATCAGGGTGGAACCAAAATGTAAGAAATCCTGCACCGATTAGGGTGAAATTTGTAGGGTTTCAAAATACATTTGACGTATTGATTGAAATTTCACCTACAATTAGGAACGACAATCTCACATGCATTGTGGAACGCCACAAATTTCTCATCCCATATCACATATTAAACTGAATTTCTAAATCAGTCTTTGGAAGAAAAAGCACTTTTTTTTTTTGCCTTTTGTCAAGAGTAACTTTACGGTTAATCTTCTCCGAAAAATATAATCGTGATCGCCCTGCGTCCATCTGCCCCTCACAGAAACCAACAGGTTTCAGAATTAGTTTCTCAGAACGAATTGTGAGACTGATCACACACACTTTCCAACTGCTACAATTTAAACAATTAATTCTAATCCCACTGTTTCTGAGCAGAGTTCCAGATCCCTTTATCTATTTGAATTCTGATTTCCAGGAGTTCCAGTTTGTCGTTTCTGTACTTTTAATCGGAGCTATTAAACCTTTCAATTAAGAGAGTGCATGCATTTTGCATCAATTGGAGATGGCTAGATTTAACTCTCTGATGATCAAGACATGTGGATACTTTTCCCCTCTTTTAATTCAAAATGTGGTATTGTTTGGTTACTGGAGGCAGTCGCATGAAAATTCAGATACTTTTTCAATTTCAAACTAAATCATGCTGTCTGCAGTGCAGCTGAACCATACACCTAATTTTGTTCCCAGGTTAGCTGATTTCATGGAACAGCAGAAGGGGTACTAACGCTAGAGAGGAAGAGTGTTTCTATTTCTGATATCTAACCATGACTCCTACTGCAAAGTGCCAAGTGTGTAAACATTGTATGATACCCACCCCCTGGAATTAAATAGCCTGCCAACACGCAGCATATAGCCTCACACACAACACACAAAAGGATGGCTTGCCAGCCTGCCACATGGAATTATACTCCAGGAGATGTCTTCAGCAGAGGAGGAGTTTAAAAATAAAAAGGAAAACAAATTAACGTTGGGGACCACAATCCTCCATGCAGGTGTTGGTTCAAGTGGGAAAGCCAATTACGCTAAGCACGATCACAGTTTTTACAGGCTTTTCATTATTTTTTAATAAGAGTACAAAGAGTACTCTTTGTTGAACCACTTCCAAAAATGTGTGCAATACAATTACCCTTCAATTATATTGTAGCCTGTTTTGACTGACACAGTACCTGCTTTGAAGTATTGTGAACAGGCAGCACTGAATTAGACCTCCTCCTCACACTGCTCCACGCACTGGCAAAGAGGTAGCTAGCATATACACACTTGCACACATGCACTATGCTATGCTAACCATTGGCTGAATTTATTTTTGTAATGTTGGTGAAAAACAAACTGGCTTCTTCAGTGAAACTCAAAGGCAGTGCAATCAACAAAATTACATTTGTATAGTGCCTTTCACGTCGGGGGGGGGGGGCATCCCAAGGTGCAGTGTAGCAATCATCTGAGAATGTTTCAAAGCATTTTTTTTAAGGTTAGGAAGTTTGACGCCAGTTATTAGCAGCCAATGCAAGAGCAAGCAATATTGGACTACCTATTCCAGTAGTCTTTAATTTGTATTAAATTGGGTAGTCTCAAAATTGGGTACACTAAAACTCTTAGTGTAAAAGCAGTTGTTCTGCGGGGTTTGGATTGACTATTGTACTCAATTTTCACATTGATAGATATAAACTCTACAGTATTACTGGGCCTCTATTTCAAAAATTAATATTTGTTCTACGTGCATAGATGGTAGAGCATGAACAATGTTCCTTCCCTTAAACTGAATTTTTTTTTACCTCCAAAAAATGCTTTTCAAAAGGGATTAACCATATTGGGTAGAAAAGGCATCATCTCATTAAAAAAACACTTTTGTTAACGAATCACTTTGCCTTTCTGCTTATTGCGATTGGAAGCATTATTGAAACTATCTTTCTAGTGAATTTCACTTCTCAATTAAGCCCGCTCAACTGGGATTTATACTGCACTTTCACATCACATCAGCCTGAAATGGTACGAGCGTAATAGGTCAGGATTGGCAAATATATACTTCAAAACGGTCTGCTCAATAGAAAACAAATAGCTTTAACTAATACTGGCTCCTATTAAAAGAATGCTTGCACAAACCATTACAATTTCATTAATGTTCACTTGTGGAGTTTGGGGAGTGAATTCCACTATTTGCAAAACTCTTCCAACTTATAACAAGTTAGTACTTGGTAATGATTATGATCAGGAATATTTTTAGAACAAGCTTGGATATACCTTGATATGTTGTTATACTACATAGGTAACTGCATTGGATACACCTAAAGACAGCTCTAACCAAATTTGTACAGAATAGGATACTTTCATTATTAATAGTTTCAATTTTATGACTTGAAACAATTTTGAGTGCATATCAAACATTGCCAGAATCTGCTTAGACAGGAGATAAGATTGACTCTGCATGTTGAGGGCGGGGGGATAAAATGAATTCATGTAAGCACAATTTTCTTGGAGTAAAAAGGCTGATATTTTATGGTATGTTGTGGTTGCAGCATCAGTCACACATATTTATCATTTAGTAACACATGTGGGATTGACTATGCCATAGACCAGCATAGACTAAGCCATAAATTAAACTTGATAAGATTTATGCACAATA